TAAAAAATATGTTATTTATTTTATTGAACATTTTATTTAGAGTAAAATGACGACTTAAAGTCACTGAAGCAATGAAACAAAAATTTTTGGTAGAATACATTAAAAATCAGGAGCGTGGTTCCAGAAGGTTTTTACGTTCATACTATGAATGTGATGTAGTTCAGTTTAGAAAGATAAAGCAAACCATTAGATAGAGAAGATATTTAAGGAAGATTAACTTCATGAAGGACAACATTGGCTGAACTTAAGAAGAAGTTAGAAGAGTTGGAGAAAGGAAAGAGTTAAAAGTAATGAATTACAATCAGTGGTTAGAAAAGAGGTTAGAAAAAAAGTGTTAGATACACTTCTAACATAAATTTATGGTATGTTTTCATACGTGTGAGGGTGGTGATATCATTAATTTTTATATAAATGACAGAACAAAAATAAAGCATTTCTACTCACAGGAATGAGACCCTTACTGACTATGTATTCGTTTAATGCTTGATGAAAACAATGGTACATATTATCGTATGGGTATACACAACGTCTGTTTCCATCGTCGTCGTATATGTAGAGCTCAAATCCAGTCCAACCTTCTTTTGTACAATATGTAGCTTTATTTAAGTATGCATTTATGTAGATAAGGCAATTTTCTTCATCGCTCCAGAAATAATTTTTGTTCTTTGTTGAAATAGTTTTCGTTCCTCTGCGACCATAAGGAATGTATGCAATGAACTTTGCGTCATATGGGATTGTAATATATTCAGGGTTTCTTTCATCGTCAATGGGTCTGTCTTTGTTAAAATGCATGTTTCTCAGTTTTACTTGAGTTTTGAATAGTTCACGGAAACGTTCTGGGAAAGAGTCATAGTAAATGTAGTCGGACATGTCTTTGTAATGAAATAAAAAATTTAAAAAAATAAAAATAAGGTTATTTTTATTTAGTGAGGACGGTAGTGAAGTCGTTAGTGAAGTCGTTAGTGAAGTAGTTAGTGAAATCGTTAGTGAAATCATTTATGTGTCAGATGGTTTTGTAAATATTTAAGGTTAAGTTGGTGTTATGGTTGTGTTGTAAAATATACGTTACCGGTTTCGTAAAGTGTCAAACCGTTAACTTGGGTAAGGTGGAACGCAGTGCCGCCGTACCCAAGTTAGGGATACTAACTTTGTTTCTGATAAGCTCGTTTTTATAGCATAGCATAACATCCCTTTTGTAGAAATCTTCCCATATTAAGCCTGAAGTCTGTGACATTGAAAAATACAACAAGAGCGCTAAAATCATCCAAATTTTTAAATTTGCCAATACTCACAATTTTTTCAATAATGTTCGTTCAATTGTAAAGAAAAAAAAAAAAAAAAAAAAAAAAAAAAAAAAAAAAGGTAGTGGGGCTTCCAGGCACTTCGTGCCTTCTAGCCCTGAGGATGAATGGTATAA